AGTATAAAGACCGGTATTTATTCTCGCGTTTAGCAGCCAGTTTACAGTTATCGCTCGTGGTAAAACGTTCTCTATATACCGTGTGCTTCGAGTCTCCAGCTAGCCTTGTTATTCGCTATTTCCTTCTTCTCTCCGTGGCAAAAAAGAAGCGTGACTCCCTAGTGGAGGAAAATAAAAATTCGAAGACTGGAAAAAGTTGGTGAAATGTTTTTACCGGGTTGACCATGATTAATCATCCTTATCCCATTCCTTTCGAGATATGTACATTGAAATTGCCAGAAGAGCACGAATACTAATATCGTCACTGTCGACGACTCTACCTACGTTACTTATTACCGTTCTATTATCGACAAGCTCGCGATGTTGCCTAAATACCCCGAGGACTTGGAGCTCAAAGCTTGACCAAAATACGTGAAAAACGTGCGAGGGAAACCAACGACGTGGAATCCTTTTCCTTCTGAATTTCCAGTAATTACACAACGAACATCAGAACGTATAACCAGCTTCGTTTTCTCCGTGATTTACTACGTACGTTACTGGCTGCCCAGCCAGCTAGCTCGCTTCCACCTGAGAGCAAGCGGTCCCGATTATCTATTCAGCGCAGCGGTGAGAGAGTCGACGTTTCATAACCTCCGTGTTCCGCGTGAAACTTGAAAAATCGACTGTTTTGAAACGACGGGATCGGGATCGCGTCACATCGGTGTCATTTTTCGATTCGAATTTCCCATTCGATTTTCCTGTTTCTCCGTGCGGCCGCGCTGCACGCAGACGCGCAAACGTGCGGCTAGGGCTGCCGCATAGACGCATCCACGTACGTTACATACGCGCGTAGATACACGGTGGAACATGATCGTGTACACGTGCACAAGCACGTTGCCATTAACGCTCATTTTGCGTCGTTGCGCCGTTCTGCACGGATCGGAGATAAGCAGCGTAGAAATCAGGAAAACCGCTTTTGACTTTACACATGGCCACGCTGCGTCGTCCACGGGTACAACGGGGATGTTCCCGATGGTCCGCCATCCGACTCTCGCGAGCGCAGATGCGATGGGAATAGCGAGAACTCGGTATTTACCTACTTCTCCGGATCCGCGACACGGTTAGCCTTTTAAGTCAAATCGCTCGAGCTCGAAATCCGCGATCGTGCAAGAATCGAAGGAGATTGCGTAATCTGGCGCGGAGAGAATTAATTAGCAACGAAGAAAGTTCGCGCGTGAACGTGGCTGCGTTTAACGTAGCCATACTAATTTCGTTCCATGTACCCCTGCCCCCCTTCTGGTTAAGAGCCGCGGCTTTCACGGTTATCGTGTCACGGAGAGATCATCGGTTCGCGAAATCCACGTCGTTTGCATCGCTAAACTGCGAACACTCGCTAAATGGAGGTATTACACCAGGAAGTTGGACGGAAGTCGCCGTTCTCCAACGCGCAACGCGAACGCAATCGCGGAAGATGGCCTTATGAAAGATCATCTCGCGAGGGACAGACTCGCAAAGTATATTTCATGAAAAGACGATCGGGATCTCGAGAAAAATACTCTCGCGTGCGATATTTTCTTTAACAACGATCGTCAGTATCAAAGATGGTCCTTTCTCCAAGGTAGGGTCATCGAAACGGAGGATAGCGTTGCAAACGATCATCGGAAGAAGGGATAGTCAGCCAGGGGTTGACGAAAGCGAAGAATGGCCTCTGGAAGGATGACCAGAACAAAGGACGGTCTCTCGAAGAATAATTAAAACGTTATTAACGGACGACGACGCAGAGGCGAACACAAGTCGCGTTCATGATGCACGGGTTATGTATCGAGTCGTTAATTTCAAATAAACGGAAAAGCACGTTCACCGCGCGACTTTCACTGTCTGCCTGTCACGGCGGGCACAGAGAATACTGTGAATTGTTGGCAAAGACCGACGAATTGCGGTAATATCCGAGAGAGCTCGATCCATCCAGCGGATCTCGGCGAACGCGCATCGATGAGCCTCTCTCCTCTCCTTCTTATTCTCCTGTTATTCCTACAGTTTTCCGAGTAAAACCTTCCGCCGATGCTCGCATATCGCGGTTATTACGCGAACCAACCGAACGTGAAATCGTTCGAATACGAAACGATCTGGCCGAGAAATCGCGAAGAGTATCTGGAATCGGCAGGGATTAGCGTTACAGCCATCGTTGTGCCGATTTTCTACGATTCCGTGATCCCTTTCGCAGCTTCTCGCTGGGTTTGTTCTAAGAATCGCTACCGGAAGCATCGTAGACGTCGCGCTTAAGCCTTTCCCGCGGGATTACCGGCATCCTGTGAACCGTGCCGTACGCACGACAAACGAGTTTATGAAACTCGGTGTTAGCAGATGGAAAGCGCGTTTGTCATTAACACCTCGAATTAACACTCGAGTACATCGTCCTCCAATGCTGGCTTCCTATGAAAGGATTTTAAGAGTTACCAAAACTCTTACGTTACTCGTATCCTAACTCTTTCAGGCTCTGGACTATTTTCTCTCGAGACAGTGACAAAATGTCCAAGTCGGATGAATAAGGGAGTAATTATTAATTATTGATTTATTGTTATTCTATATGTTTGTAGCACAGTGGTATCTTTACGTTATTCATCCGACTTAATTCTTACGTTAATTATCTCGAAGAGAGGTTAGGTGCGAGGTTTCTAAAGATTCGAGAGTAATTATTATTCTATATGTTTGTAGCACGGTGGTATGTTTAAGTCGGATGAATAACGTAAAGATACCACCGTGCTACAAACATATAGAATAATAATTACTCTCGAATCTTTAACAAACCTCGCGCCTAACCTCGCTTCGAGATAATTAACGTGAGAATTAAGAATAACCATTAACACTTTGACTACCACGATCAAATTTTCATTATTCTTACTATACAACGATGAATTATCAAACAATATGCAAATTATTACTGACTATTTATTTATCTACGTTCTTTAAATTTTCAAAAAATGCTTAGAATAAATCAAATGTAAATTTAAAAAATTAGTATCGCCGAACACTAGTGACCACCATAGCTCCACCGAGGAGACAAGCACCGGTCATTGATGACCACCATGTTGCAGTCAACGTGTTAAAAACAATTACGAAGAAGCATCAGCGAGAAGAATGCATTTATGTAGCCTATATTTTCATACTAGATACAATCGTACGATTTAAAGTTCGGACACGAGGATATACCGATTACTCGATACTCTGTGCCTACGAATAGAGCGAAACCTGCCGGTCGCGGCCATTAACTGCGCCCGCCGTGTTTAATCATATTTACCCACGAACGAATAATTCAATGTAATCGGATAAACGAGTTCTCCGCTTGTTTATCGCTCGCGGGAGCGTGCTCGGAAAGATCAAGTTAAACGGAGAGAAGCTGGCATTACATTGCAACCTCCGACCCAGATAAAGAATGCTACGGTGCACTCGTTGCAGGTGAATGCACCCGGCACCCAGAACACCAACCTGGAGCAGGATTATTCGGAAAAAGCTGTGAACACGCGGAGAAACGTTTGACATGGCCTTTTGACACGGGTACCGGAGAATTCGACGAGAATCGAGAAACGTTTCCATCACCCATTTCTAATATCCATCGAAATATCCATCTCTGAATGCTTATTCGGATTCGTTACGATTCGTTCGGATTTTACGAACCAACCTAACCTAACTTCGCTACCGGCTCGCATTTTACCGCTGGCAAAGTTGAAAGCACCGTGGAAATAATTCGATCTATCGAATCTTCGTTTAAATTGACTTTACCTTGGAATAATATCCTTTGCGTAAGATATAATTGCATGAGATTTCGATTTGTAGCTATTTGTTACGGTAGCAGAGAAAACGCGATCGTTCTCGCAGAGAATACTCGTTACCGGAGCAACTCGAATCTACGCGATGCCTGATGGGCTTTAATTTATGTTCCTTTTAATCTCGCGTAATTCCTCGTACGGTTGACTCGGGCGAAATTAAGAGATCGTCGAATTATACGGGCTTTAGTTGCAAATGGAAGCCCACCGCGGGGTATTCGTAGTGAAATAACGCGAATAAACGATGCAGCACGATGCATTGAACTAAACGTGTAACAGGTATGCGAAGGCGGTTTTTCCGCGAGCATGGAGGGGAGGAGCACAGTCAAGGCAAAAGTAGGGTAAATGTATCCACGTAGGCACACGACTCTCCTTTGGAGATCAATCAGAGCGAGCCAAGAATTTTGCAAACAGAATTCCTCGGATTCGCGCGATTCAGGAAGGATCTATGAATGATACTAGACGACATCACTGAATAATTCAACAACTCCATTGTCTGCGCGCAATTACTAAACGGATAAATATAAATTGCATCTGCAGTAACGCTGTCTTTAGAAACACTGATAATTTCCTATTTTGATACGTATATTTGAATAAATAATTTAGAGTAAATAATCATTTTTCGCGATACCCGAAACGTTAGTTGCAATCGTTCGAGGAACTAGTTTCGCGCAACTTTGTCCGAAAAGAAAATCCTACGCGCTACTACGCGAGTCGTTAACGCACTGTAATCCAACCGAACGTGACTGCAGAAAAATATATATAGCGCGATAAGCAAAACTTTTCGAACGAGAAAAATGCGCAGATCTTTTTTAATACGATTTAACCGCTTTACGTCACGATATGTTCGTTAAAACTCGAGAATATTCGAAGGAAAAATAAAGAATAGGTAAACGCGTATAGTGAAAACGCTGCAGGATAAGGCTGTTTATCTCGTCATCTGTTAGAGCACAAGGAGGCCGAAAGACGAAAATGCACGATCAACCGTGTCCGGTGCGTTTAAGGTCAATGCACGGGAACGCGAGGCAACCGAACGCATTCGTACGGCGCACACGGCAAGGTATATGGCGAACGCGACGGATTCGCGACATTCGCGTAGCTGTCACGTTTGTCAATTGTCGCGAGCTATTCAGCTGGCGGTGAACGTCTCGATCGAATTGTGGCTCGAAACGAATGTAACAAAACGTTCGTACTCACCGAGAATCGCCTGGAGGGTTTGATCGTCCCCGTCCCCGATGACATCCATACCTCCGTTGATAATCGGACCCCTGAGATCTTCCGGGCCCGATCAACGGGCCCCATTTTGTCTCCAAGCTAGAATGTCACTCGACGCGACGTCCCACATAGTACGCGACGTTTAATGTAACTCTCTTCCGTTTTTCTCTCTCTCTCTTTCTTTCTTTCTATCTGTCTCTCTTGCTTTCGATCCCACGGTATACCGTCTGCCTCTCTCTAACCGTACTTTTTCTCTCGAAATTCCACCGATCGAGATAAGTTCACATCGACGATACTCCTTCCGTGTGGTCACTGTGTTTCCTTGTACCTTCGAGTGCAGCGACACGATTTACGAACGATCGCCGTCGAGAATCGGCACGGTGAACGACGACAATGAGAGCATCGCGAGGGAAAAAGATAATCCGTCTCGTATCCGAAAGAAAGAGGCACACCACTCGGTCGAACTTGTACACCGTCCTTTTTTCTCTTTTTCCTTCGTCCAAACGATTTCTCTATGCGTTATTCTACTGTTGGCTCGTACACCCAGGAGCCGTGTCGAATCCCGAGGCGCGGACTAAACTTGAGTTCCGTGCCGACACCACACGCGCACAAAACGTAATACATGCAAACGCGCCCCGTGTATGTCGCGCCGAGAACGAGCTGGTCACGTGACATGTTTCACTCTCCTCGGTACAAAGTTTGAAAGAAGCGCGCATCGTTCGTCGTTCGTGTAAACGCGCTCGAATTTTGTCGTTACATTTTGTTCCACATATTTGTCGTTGCATTGTGATCGATGTCGTTGAAAATATCGTCGCGTGGTATGTCGATCGAAATATCGTGATATCTTGTATGGTTGTTAAAATTTACATGCAACTTGAAATATCGTCAAATGTTTTTATGAGAAGATGGCGACACCGAACGGCATTTTGCGCGGCAAAATAAAATCGTTGGATTGGCTGTGTGGTAATACTTGCATCGAGTGATATATGGATATTTTTTGCCCAGAATGGAGTCGTTTGCGAGAAATGTAAGTTATCTTCGTTGTTAATATTTTCATATGCACATATACGCACAAATTATTACTTTGAAAGGTATGCGATATATTTTTTGCGACTATTTCTTTCCACTCGTTCATGGTACATAACTGTACTGGGATTAACAGGATGGAGAACCAATTTTTGCTGATTATAAAAAAAGAATTTTATTCTTAATAAATAATGATCAATGTCATTTCTTAGGGTAGTATATAGATATATAGAGTGGCCAAAACATATTATATTGTATACAGATTTCGTATCTTATAATCTAAATAACATTAAACAGATGATATGTGGGGAAGATTAATACAACTTTTTCTAATAGACATACATTGTAGATTAAATTCTTTTCATAGTACATAATGCAGACGTTTGATAACATTTTCCATGGAAATTCTTGTAATTATTAATTGATATGGCAGAGTACATGCTAAACCTATATTATGAATTTAATGAATCTTACGTTTAAAAACAAACACACAAATTTTAATAAACATAAAGGACTTGAACCTTTTATAAATTGCATTATAAAATTATTGTGATTATGTATAATAATTCTTCCCAAAATAAAATTATAGATAGTACTCCGCATGCTAAAAAGGTACACATAAACATTGCATGGGTACTATAAACATTTATTACGTCACATAAGTACAATTGAACACCAAAGGGTTTCTAAATTATTATTATTATTGTTATTGTTACGTTATTAATACGTTTACATTAAAGTTGCTCAAGGCTTTATATACTTATAAATAATTTACTCTCAATTTGCTTACACAAATACATAGTCTCTTAAATATATTTTGCTCTCTGTACAACATATGTACAAGTATAGATATATATTAGAATATATGTATACATATCACAATCTTGCACTCAAAGATACGCGTTCACACTGTTCACTTACAAGACAGAAGAATTCTGAGACATTCTATTGATAATTCAAATGGTTGACGTTACAACACGTTCGACGATCAGACTGATTATGTTTTTGGAACATCTGAATTCGCTACGGCATATCTATAGACAATTGTCAAGATCGTTCACGACAGATCGAAATCGAGACGTATAATCTAATGGAATAGTAGTTCAAATTGGAATCAATTTAAAAAAAAAAAAAAAAAAAAAAAGAAAAATAAAATTATGAAAAAGAGAACGAATCATACTTCCGCACAACGATGGTTAATCATAAATCTTACAAAGTCTGCAATACATCTCGTTACGGTATGCAATATTAGTGAATACTAATAACTTTGGTACTGTTACAGCAAAATCGAGTTATAATAGTTCTATGTTGAGAAACATTACTGTTCAAACTATTGCCATTCTTGTTAATAAATTCATTTGAAACTTTACCTAGAAGCTCATAAATTACACTTATTGTCAGCTACAGACTAATATTCAACCGAGCAAACTGATTATGAAAAAAAAAATAAAAAAAAAAGAGCAGTAGCCCTTTTCATCGCTAATTCATAAGATTGTATTGGAATTTCATTAAATATTAATTGATACTTGAAGTAGTGAACAGAATAAATAATTATACTTTTGTACATAATACTTAGAGAGAATGCTATACGACAACTTTACTCTTGGTTTACTATACAGGGAATTAAATTTGCTTTAAGATTTAGATCAACAAACCCACCCTATGATTCACTATCTTTTTTCCTCTTTTTTTTCAAGTGAAACTACATTTCTTACGACCTTCATTTCACACAACATCATGAATTTTGCTTTGTATTAGAGAAGCATATTATTTCTAGATAGATTTATAACTTACATAATAAACATATTGTACTACCTGCATTCAGTCTTTGTCGATAAATTAATTAAAAGTCATGGAAATCATTGCGTATCTTTTACTGTAAAATTAACTAGGAACTACGAATAGGATAAAAATATTTTAATTGATCTGGGTCCCAATTTTATAATCATTTGCCTTTTTGTATTTATAATTTCTTTTTTAAATAATCATTAATCATTAATGTTCGTTTCTGTAACTGTATAGTGGACAGTAACATTAATTTTCAAATAGTTTACTGCGCTGGAAAGCTAAGAAAGAACTGCTCGTATCATAGAAAGTATAGGACTCTGAGAATACCATAGATGCAAATGTTTATAACTGACAAATCTAATTTATAACACACGAAGAATCTAAATTAATATTCTGACAAACCCTGATATCTCGTGAGTCAAATTGAAATATTTTTTGTTTCATTTGTCAAACAGTTTTAATTCCGTTTAAGAATAGTGTACTCTTTAGAACACGAGTCATAAAACCTTTTACCTTTGTCTTGAGCTTTGTGACTCATATTAATTGTCAACGATTCATCATGGCAGTATAGAAATGGCAGCTTATTTAGTGAGACAAAACTCATCTTGAATAGCTGAAGGTCAAATAAGACATCTGCTGGTTTAGAATTGAATTTGAGATTCTCTTTGTAGAATTTCATCCGCGGTAAAGATATTCACACCTGGACAAAGTAATGCGTTGCAGACAATATCTCATAATCGTTTCGTAAATCTTTTCATAGTAACTCTCAGACGAATTTTCTCTTCTAGTGAACTTTTATCAATTCTCGCAATCGCCTCATTTGTAGTTCAATCTCCTGAACTCGACGATTTACCATCGTCAAGAGTCTGTTCATACAGACAAAGTGCACGGTGAACGAATTCGTATTGTTCCGGTGTTTGAACCATGCCACCTCTGTCATATCTGAGAAAACAGTAGGATTTTTAAATATTCAAACTTATAGTTTGACTTCAAATTACTGTAGCTGGATATAAAAAATATTTTGAACCTCATTTGACATAAAATACCCAATACGTCTACATTTCCATCTCGCAATAATTGTGTCATTCCTATGGTTAAAGCTATGAAACAACCAGTTCGTCCAATTCCTGCACTGCAGTGAACAACAACCGGACCCGATAAAGAATTTACTTTTGCAGCTAAACTAACAAGTGTATCCGCCGCTTGCGGTACGGCATGGTCCGGCCATGAGTCATACCTATAATTATTTATCAATGTAATATTAAGTATTTTAATAACACTACTTGAAATAAGCAAAACGTTGGACTCGATTTAATTACCAATAGTGTTGCACGTGTCTTCTTTCACCTTCATATAACAGTTCTAAATCTCTGATCGTGTAGCCCTCTCTTACATCAATAGAGTTAACGATAACAGCAAAAGGTCCAGCTTGTATGCGAGTATCTTTATCCAGCGGAAAATATGCTTCGCATTTTGTTTTGGCGGCTTCGTGTAGTTTCGTTATCATAACTACCACGGGTACTTTCTCCGCCCAGACCATTTTCCAGAAGTCACCTACTGTGTGAGCCAGTGGGCCCTGCGTTGCAATATAGCGAGCATCTTTACCATCGTATCCCTATTAAATAAAAATTCATAAGTAAAACACGACAGAAAGAACGACACGAAACGTTCAATTCTAGTTTATTGTATTTTGTCATAAACATACCCGAATATAATTGGCGTTAATATAACTAGACAGAGGATCATCAGAAGAACCCGGTAAAATCACCCTCGACTGTGGGTTCGGTAATACGGAACAATATCTATTCTTTACCCCAGATCCACAGATATCTAATTTTTCTGGCAAGTTAAGCGGAACTTCCCAAAATTCCTTATATAACGATGTTGGATCATTGATTACTTTTTTAAGCTGAGCTCTTGATAAAACATTTCCAGCGCTCAACAGAAATTCCTCCGCAGTACATTCACGTGTAGGCGTAACAATATGTGGTGGACTTTCCAGAGGTGGTGCCACTTCTATAGTCAAACTTGCACTTGATCCGCGGCGCTCTAATAATCTTTTAGTTTTTATACGTATTGGTTCTGGTCTGCGTTCCGGTGTCGTTACCGACATTACCTAAAGATATGGGAATTGGTTAATTTTTCAATTATTACTTTACGATTATCTGTGTTATCTTACATAGTTAGTAATCATACCTCTGGTAAACCAGTAGCTTGTGTAACTGATCGAACAGATTGAATAGATGGTTTTGCCGTAGATTGATGAATCCATTCGATTGATCCTTTTGCAGGTTTAATTGCCTTTTCTGGTTGGCCTACTGCACCTTCTTCTACCAAACCTCTCCTATCACCATCCTCTGTATTTTTTTCACGCGACATTTGTTTCCGCAGCCATAACAAAACCTAAATACAAAATCAGCTGTGCATATCACATTGAGACATAGGATTGAACCAAAATTAAAGAAAACTCTTACCAGAATTGTAAAGAGAATGACACTACCGATGATGCAAAATGCTGCGAACACAGACAATTGCCAATTTAGCCATGATATGTATGCAGCTGTGAGTACCTCCTGTCTTGTGCGGGTACTGAGTTGAGTAGCTTGCAAATCCATTCCAGCATCATCCAGTCCTGTTATGGACTGTGGGATCCTGTGCACGAGAAGTTGATATCTTGAATCGATATCAAATTCATTGCTACACCAATTAATATTACCACTAATCGATAAAGATATAAAGACAAAATTTTTGAAACCTGTACCTGCGATGAGATCGAGTAGACATTCCCTCTGTGGATGGTAATAAAGGAATGGGCAGCACAGTATCTGTGTGCCACCTTTGTCCAGTAATTAAGTAAAATTTCTCCAAAGGAACCGAACTATCCTCATTGCTCGAGATGTCATAATAATTTGCATCGTTCACATAGTGATTAGTCAAAGGAGTACTCGTACCTCCTGTAACAAGAATGAAATCACTCAGTCTTAAAAATCCAGCATCACGATATATTACATTATCTCGATATACTTGAAGTACAACGAATAACGAACTAAAAATAGTTCAATTAATTTCTGCAATAAATTTTATCACCCTTAATACCAAGCAATAGTACGTTATCAGATATCAGTTATACTTTAATGACACGGTACATCATCCCCCTTATTATACTCACGATAATTAAATTTTGATCTAGAAAATAACAACCGATAGCTCTAAGATGCCGTAACGTATAAAACATTTGCGCAACGTTATACGTTACACGTGGAAGCACACGCGTCGAGTCAAACGTCTAGCAAAGGAACGTTCTACGATTTTTCTTCTCGTTAATCAAATATCAAACGCTTATTTACAATTTCGTACGGACTCGCCACGATATATCCCACTTAACGACAACCGAAATTTTCGTCAACCTCGTGAGAAAAAAATCAGAAGCCATTCCTTCCGACTGCCCTGCCTTTAGACAGGAAGTAAACATCGCGTTAATTTTATGAACGGAACACCAAGGAAATTCTGAAGTGGGGAAGGGTGACAGGGCAACGAGCAGATGTAGCGTACACCAATGAGAGAACTGCATGTGACAAGTGGATGAATACACGTCGTTCCAGTCACCGACACAACAGTTCCACGCCAACGTATCTGTACACGAACTTCCCATTTACACGCACCACGAAAACAAGGAACACGAATGAACTACATCCCGTTTTCCGGCCGTGTGGTACAGAGCTAACACTGTATCGAGCAAGCCACGTTGCTCGTATAAATCGAAGGATAAATTTCCAATGAGAAAATTCGATCGATACCTTCGGTGAGGAACAAGTACACGAGGAACACGAAGACGGTACGATTGAAGCTAAGTTGCGTGCCACGATTTGAAACTAGCGGCTGCGTAGACGTGTAAACAGCCATGTTGATATCGTTAGTAGAGACCACCAGACCAACTCGACTGCGCAAGCCTCCTGTTCGAACTGCCGAAGACGTCGCTCGTGTACCCTGACCTGGGCTTCGGTTCCCTTCGGCCTTGCACTCGGGTACGTACGGGAGGAAATACCGGCCAATCAGCGTCGAGCGGCACGCAAACGCCAGCCAATCGCGTGCTCGGTTTACTACCAATACCGGGAATTTGGCGGGAGGGACTCAAGGTGAATGAAAGAGAAGCACGTGCAACTAATGATAGTAAAGTGCATTCGGAATCAAGTTTTACGTTTGCTCATTGAGTCCAAGCGAGAAGCGTTCCGTTCCGTTTCGGTCGCGACGAATACTCGTCGTTTCCATTCCTCCGATTCGACGTCGCGTTCTCACGCGGTCGGTGTCGTGTTCACTTCCGGTAATGTCGTGTTTTCCTTACGCTAACAGACAGACTTGTTCCAACGGTTACACGAGCCCTGTTCTCACATGAATACGCCCTGTGTTTGTCGCGAGGAATAGAGAAAAAAGCGACGAAGGAATCGAGGCGAATTATGCTATTTATATTTCTGATATCATTAGTGAAACTCGGTTTATAAATAAATCGAGGATAAATAAATCGCAAGGAAAATACGAGTATCTTTCTACTAGCTTTTATGGGTCACGGATATCGTCGTGGTTGAGATTAAAAGTAATACTGGCAATTATGTAGATCAGGCTCGATCTCTCGGTACGCTTAAAAATCGATTTTTCGAATCATTTCTTAAAATACGTATTATTTCCATTCAATCTTAGTTTCTCAAATAATTGCAGAAAAATTTTCCTACTCTACATTGAATTTTACTTATACATACGTATATAAACGTTCGTAACTATGTATACACGAGTGCCCACTTGTCGCTTATCTACTGTCCATATAGATGCGAACAAAAGATAATCGAATTTGTATGAAATAAGATTAATTAAATGAAAAATATTCGACGAGTGAGATTTGTTATATTTACTCGATAAGAAATGCTACACATCTCGTCTCTTACTTTAGTATCGAACAGACCATGTAACGTAGGAAACTTTTTCAGAAATAACTCGTAAACTAAGCCAAAAAATTCTTCGGAATACCGATTTCTGCGAGATATCAAAAAGTCGTACTCTATAATAATGTAATAATAACAAGGAAAGTGCAAGTCCTTCGGGTCACTGATTTAGTTGAAACTTTGCAGATTTCTAAATTTAGTCATCGAGTTCATTAAAATGTATCATTATAAGGGCAACTACTCGATAGTTTTCGAAATATTTATAATTAAAATTTCATTATTGCCTGAACTACAGATTTATTTGCAATAGTTATCGAGTTGTTAAATATTCTGCATAATTACTGAGACATTCTTTCGTTAGGGTGACGCACGGGGATGATTCATCCCGCAGTTGGTATGAAATTAAAGCTTGCGATGGAGAAAGGAAGAAAAAGAAAAAAGGGGAGTCATTGATATTGCGCATCGAACAGACTCGGATTACCGTGTACTAAAACTCCGTCGAAGCACTGCCTCATGTTTGCATCGGTACTATACTTCTCCATCTGCGAGTGGAACAGCGATTGCGGCTTTTCTCGATCCTTTTCACACGCGTTGCACCGATCGATCGATGTGTAACCAACGGTGAAGCAATGCTCGTTTATCTCGTAACAGGCACATGATGCAAAACAGCGGCGATCTTGCCGAGAGGCACTAGCCGCTCGCGTTGGCTCGATTTTATCAATTGTTCATCGGTCAAGACAATATTGGACCCGGTGAGACGTCTAGGCCTCGTCTTACGCACTTCTCAAGAATATCTCGGTGAATCAGAAAACCGGATGTTGCCCATTCATCCCTGCCATACGCCCGACGTCCAATATTCGCTCTGTCGAATCCGTTCTCCCGTTCTGTTTACGCTCCTATCGTCTCTCCTTGAGCCAAAAGAGAAGCCGAGAAAATCACGGTACTCCGATCGAAATAATCTCTCCTCCTATTTTACTCTCCGAAACTTCCAATAATTCGATAATTCGATAATTCAATAATTCGATAATTCAATAATTCATCCTCGATATCGCGTTCTCCTCGTAAACACGAATCCGAATGCTCGAGTCTCTAAATCATGTTTTTTTCTCCCTGAAAGCGAGTCATCGTCGACTAGCTGCATACTACAGCGATTACTCATATTACACAATACCCGTACTATATTCTCCGAAGCCGACGTTCAACGAACTCCCGTTTCTCTGAAGCTGCCTACCGATGCCTGTCACTCGACAATGCTAACCGGCTGTTATTGTTGCAACACCGACATCAGCTGAAAAATCAATAGCCAGCCTGCCAGTACCGAATCTTCCAAGCCCGTGTTCATTCCACGGATTCGTGAATTAATTGACTCGAAACCCCGGTCACGGACGAACGAAGGCAGTCCTCGCGGTATCGACGAGCACAGCCATGCCTCGTGTCACGATCCTCTCGCTTCTCGAGTATTTTCAGGGACGATCGTCCAATTCGATCTCGAGAAGAATCTTACGCGTGGCCACGTTTCTTCGTTAACACTCGACCAGTCGATTACGCGGTTTTATTTGACATTTAACGACACGCTTCGTGACGTCAAGCGAGATGGTCATTCCTATAACCGGCCCAGCGATAAGCAATAATAAGCGATACGAAGGAGGGAGTCATCGAAAGAGAGAGAGAGAGAGAGATTTTGTAATCACTGACAGATTGCTTTGCTCGAAAGCTGGAAATTTGCGACGAAATCGGAAAAAATTGCGAGGAAAGCGGAAGAGAAGAGAGTGGCTGCAGATAACGACGCGGGAGAGACGGAGCACAGATCTCGAAGCACTGCGAGGGTGAAATGGCAGGGACGAAATTTGACGAATGCACGGAGCGTGGAACCGCGCGAATCGTAGGGCGGTCGTGGCACCGACTAAATTAGAGGCTCCATTCACCCTTCGGAGGAGGCTTGCGAGCTTTCGCAGGGCGCACGCAGCCAGACACGCACTTGCGTAAAAATGCGTGCCGTCGATTCGAAAGAGAAACGCGTGGGAGATATCGGGCCGTCTTTCCGGCGATTTTTTCTCTTTCTTTCTGTCCGATACACTGCCGAGGGAAGTGCAAAAGCGTGGGCAAGATTGCTCGAGGATTTTTCCCTGATCATCCTTGTAATTTTATTGGACGATAAAAATTGTGCAGCTCTGGAGCTTGTAAACTTAACCGGGAGGAGTATATTTCCCTTTTTGATTCTTCAAAATTATTATCTTCGAAGAAAACCGTGAAACCATTTCGGAGACGAGCTGATTTTAAGGAAGATGATCGAAGAAATATAAACGTGGACAGAAAAATGCAACATCGGGAATGAGAAAATTGATAGCTATAAAATTTCGTTGCTTCGGATTTTGTCGGAATAAAATTTCACGTATAAGGATAGTTTTACGTGCGTTTTTGTACTTATCTTGTACGATGTATAGACCGTGGAAATTTAACAGAGAAGCAGAATTTTAAAATTGATTCTTCAGACGGGGTAGGAGAAAATAATCGGTGTAGAGAATCGACGGGTAGATAATGATTGCGAATCGCATGACACGACGCGTTGACGTTTCCCATAGTGCAGGAAAATCTCGAATCACCCTATAATTATTACGGTGCAACCAGGCACGATAAATTGTCAGTCAAAGGATTTTACCATCCACACGGCTGGATACGCGCATCCACGGCTTGCGTTCAATGAAAACTTATTTAACATTTACTATAAAGACTTCGTTATTCATCGTGAGTCATTGGCCGCGAACGATCCTCGTCGATAAAGCGCTTAGAAAAATCGCGCGTCGAAAATTCCCTAGATCGACCTAGACCCTCTTCTCGATCGTGCTACGATCATTCCGTGTTATTCCTATCATTCGGATCAGACTGACATCCAAACATTCGAATACTCGATCTTTGTTGCATCGTGTCTTTATACGTTTTCGAACCGGTCGAGATTGTACCAGTGTATCATTAAAGAAAATCTGAGAAAATTGCGAAAGTTTAGGAAGGAGAAGTAAAGAAAATTGTTTCTAAAGACAATAAACGTAACTACTTCGATATTTCCGTTCAAGACGTTCTTCTCGGCCAGTCGAAGCTTCCTCGTTCAGAAAAGTGGCTGTCTCGACTGGTCGGCGAGCGAAGGAAAAGAGGATTATTCCACGGCAATTTTCTCGGTGCTTAATCGTCGAGCACGTGCGACGTACGTCCTCGCGTTCCTCGCCTCTGACTTTCTTTGCTCCGCTTCACACCTGAAATTTTGCGAAAGACACGCGGATAGAGCGAACACTTGGAAAAGGCAATAACAAATTTCGGGAATAAATTTGGAGCGTTGGACAAGGGAAGATACATGGCATACACGAGGATGCGATCAACATCGCGAAAACGAATAGCGTCGCATGTTGCGACAAGAGGCGCGATTCGAGTAATTCCCTGTTGGGAGGTAAATATTTGACGATCATCGCGTGATTGCATTTTTAACGAAAGATGATAGGCGCTGTCTCCGTTAAAGTAGATTAGACCATGCCGAATCGATTTCCCGACGGTAGCTTGCCTCGTGGTAGAGTGACTCATAGGAAATCTACGTGACCGTATGATTCTCTTGGTTGAAATGTTAACTAGCCTCGCACACGAGCTCAACGTCCATTAATTCGTATCTCTCGGCCAGGATGCAATTTCGAGCAAAGGTGGAGTTCGAAACGAATAACGATGAAATGAGAATTACGCGTGTACATGTTGCGATGGCGGAGAAGTAATCTCGCGAAGCAACCCCTGTTCAATCACATCGAAAAGCCACGTATACTCACCAGGGTCGAATGGAAATTCTTGGGTAACGCCCGCTCACCTTTAAGTACACATAAAACACTCGTCAGTTTATTTCTCGGTCAACGTCGAGTTACTCGTTCGGTGTCCCTCTTCACTGAGCGGGATTCTTGAAAAATTCATCGTTCCACGTCTGTCGCGTCTGAAGCGGAGCGAACGGCAAACACCACCGTGACGATCCATTCAGAGA